GTAGGCTACTCAATACAGAAAACTGTGTGTGTGTGTGTGTGTCTCCTCCTTCACCTTTTCACTTTCCGGACTGATAATATAACAGACTTTGAGGATAACAACATGACTTCAGACTCTTAAGAGCTTTAGGGTGAGTGGTGGTAGATGGCAGGACTTGGTGACTAATAAGAGTATGTTTCACCACTCAGCACAGCATTCAGACACCACTGGAGGACACTAAACACTTTCCCACAGAAAACATAAGGGGGAGGTTAAAGAGCCTAGAGTGTGTCTTTTCCCACAGAAGACTTAAAGGGGAGGTTAAAGAGCCTAGAGTGTGTCGTGTGTGACAGTAAGAGGTAAAATGAGAAAGCATGTGCATGCACATACGTATTAAACATATACAGACAGGTAAGGAGACATGACAGATAAATAAAATACAAATACACATTTGTAATTTACACATGAGCAGTTGCTCCTCTCACCTGTGTGAAAGAAGGTGGAGGAGTTGGCGGTGGATCCACAGTCCTCATCGATGGCTGTGATATAAACTTGGTAATTCTCACCACATTTGAGCATGCTGATCTGGCAGCTACTGGAGGCTGTTGTGCAACTAAGGGGTATTCCAGTGCTATCAACAGCCATGGCCTGGTACAAGCTGGCCCCAAGCACCAAATCCCAAGTTAATGTCACCGTGGCACTGGAGCAGCTGTAGTCCACAGAGATGGTCGTCACCGGTTTAATGACTGAAAAAAGGATTGTAAACAGGTGAAGCGAATGTTCAGTGTATTTGTTCAGCTTAACACTAATATTTTGGAGGCCCTGGGGCCTCTATTCAAAAGCTTTAAAGAGATACTTTCCATTGTTTCATGAGCTCAATACTTCACCCTAATTTTATTTATACTTTATAAGTTCTATATACAGTATCCTGAGCTTATAAACTGAAGGTTTCAGAACAATGCTATAGCTGCAAAACATAGGTAAATACAATGATCTTCTTATGGTATGCATTTCTGATTTTTATGAAGGACCGCTCTCCCAAATCCCAGATAGATTTGTTGTTGGATTTCTATTGAAGTTTGTTCAGAAGAGGTCTAACAGGAGTTTGATCTGTTTGGCATCTTACCCCAAACATAAGTAATGTTAATATGTAGCATTAGGTAATGCACATCCCTTTGTCTGTGAATGACTTTTTGCCAAATAAAAGGAATATACAGTTCAGGAGAAACCTTGGGCCATTATCCCACATAACTGCTTCAGCTCAGCTCAGGATGTCTGGGTTTGAGCTCTGACTGGGTCACTCCAAAGGCAGATTTCCTTTGTCTGAAGTCATTCTGTAGCAGATTTACTTTGATGTTTAGGGTAATTATCCTGCTGCATCGCCCCTCTTTTATGGAGTTTCAGCTGACAGACAACCAGTCTGACATTATCTTGACATTGGGAATTTGTTTTGCCCTTGATGACAGAAAGCTGTCCAGTGGCAGCAAAGCAGTCCTAAATTATGACGCTCCCACCATCACACCTCACTGCTGGGATGACATTTTCATGGTGGTATGAAGTGCCCTTTTTACATGATTCTTCCCAGACAATGTATTATCAGTCTGAAATACTTCACTTCAATACTTCAGTACTTCAAGTGATGGTCTCAAGCATTGAGACGGTCAAGACAATGTCAACAGAATACAGGAGCTAAAGTGAGAGTGTATCAATAAATTATATTATTAAAATACTCACAGCTGTTAGAATAAGTGATGTTAAAGGGCTCCCCAGGATCAAGGAAAGCATTGAGTGATGATACTCCCACTGTGTAGGTGGCGCAGTGATCCAGAACACTGATATTCAGGGATGTAGTTGAGACTGTTGTGTTGAATGGGGTTTCGCTGGGGTTGTCATTGTTACACACGGTTACTCGATAACGCAAGACTTTACTTACAGGGTTCCACATAATTTTGGCTGTGCCATTTCCCGTCTTTACAGCAGTCATACCAGTTGGTGGCTGTATCACTTTCAAAAGAAAATACAAGTTTCAATGTGATGAAATTACAAATCACTATCCATATTTTAAAGGATTGGCTCACACATAACTTAAAGTTCCAAAAATCAGAGGTTATTACATTAATACTGCCCTCCATGTGATGCTAATAAATACAAATCAACAAAACCAGTATTTTAAATGCACTTACATGTTAAGACTGTTTTAACACTACTTTTGGCACTATATCCACCAATGTTTGAGGAGTAAAGGTAACAGTTGTAAATTGTAGAAGAAGACAGGTTATAGATTTGTGCACTCAGGTTTGTGACAGTGAGGCTGTATTTAATTGCAGGATTGTTATAGTTGTCCACAAACAAGGTGTAGTTGTCTGTCCCCACCACACTGGACCACTCAAGCCTTATAGATGAACTTGAAAGAGCTTTGGCAACTGTAAACGTAGGTGCGACAGGCACTGTGGGAAAGTAAAATAAGGAATTCAACATTAATTAACAAAGCAATTCTTCAAAATTTTTTTAACTGGATACTTTTTTAAATTGTGTATTTACCTGTCATGGCTGTTTTATTGTCTGTGCATATAATAGTATAAAACTGAAGGACCTTCAGTTTGACTTGATACATTTGTCCAGGTTTTAACGCTTTAGCCACCCCCGTTGTGGTGGGTGGATTATATATCTTCACCTCATCGGGGGTGCTGGTAGCATTCACTCTGAAGTCCAGGATATAACTTGAAGCAGCACTGTTGCCGCTCCATGCCACTATCAGCGATGTTGATGAAGGAGACGTCACTGACAGAATGCTGCATCCTGAAATAAAAAAGTATACATATTTCTATACAGTTTACAAAAAGAGAGACAAATTAAAAAAAAAAAAATGTAAAAATAAGAAGAATATTAGCCATGTAGGTAAAAATATTATTTTATACTATTAGAGATTAAAAATGGTAAAATTAAATTAAATTAAAATAAGTGAAAATTGAGCATATTACATGTGCTGTTGCTGTGTAGCAGAGGCAGATTATATTGTCTTTGCCACATTTCTTGCCTGATGTCTATTAGAAGTGCACCTTTACAGTGTGTTTATATTTCTTTTCTTTTTAAATGACAGAAAACCTTTCTTTAAGGGGTTCAATTAAAAAATTCCACAAACAATACAATGACATTAGCTGAACACAAGTGCCTGCTGCTCAGTAAACTGAAAACAGTAGTTTTACATTCCTCCACTGTGGGATGTAAGAACTGTCACTACATTGAGGATATTTTATTTATTTCTCTGTATCACTTTACGTTTAATCTCACTAATTACTTATCGTTTTTTGTTACCGACATCATTTATCACTTGTAAATTTATTTCAATGGCACACCCTCATTCTCTCACCTTTCCTTTATCTAATAACCAATTTTTAAAAAGTTGAAAAAATGTTCAGGCTTACAGAAAGTCTTGTTCCATTGTACACTAAAAACTGGATGCAGCTGTGAGTAAACTGAGCTATATAATTGCTGCTTGGTTATAAGGCCAGAAACTTTCTTTCACACACACAAAAGCTGTAAACTATGTTAGCAGATTACTGAGCGAATATTTATGTGCAGTAATTCTACAATAAATAGTTTTGTCATCACAATTTAAGAATGGAGCGTGTTCTTGGGAGGAGAAGAAGACTCAGGGAAAGAATCTTTCCTTTCAAATATTTCCAAGTCATGAAATCTGTTATAGTTTAGTCCCCCTCACCAGGAGGGTGAGGGAGAACTGGGGTTGGACTCAAGATGGCTGACCCAGGTGCTAGTACAAAAAAAAGGAGGTTTAATGGAATAAAACAACATGACAACAAAACAGGGTCCATAATACATACAAGGGAAGGGCAGGGATGACTAAGGAGACCAGGACGGTAAACACACAAACTAATGATAGGAGGATGACAACGGACAGGTGAACAAAAAGAACCAACGTAAACAATGCAATCCACAGCACAGAGACTGTCAGCGTGGAAGACAAAGCCCGTATTTCTGTGTTGCTAACCGCATAATTAGCGTGATAAGGTCAAGCCAAAACGCACAGAGACTGTCAGCGTAGCATCTTACACACGTCTAAAAATATGCGGGTCAAACACAACATTTGTAACTTACATAGGGTAAGTATTGTCCATTACATGTCGCAATGCTCCGAAGGGGGCGTCTGCCAGAGGTATGAATAAGGAAGCCAACAAATCACCGGAATACGCCTCAGGTGTGCGCACCGACCCACGAGTCACTAATTACCCGATGCGACACAGCTGAGGCGTTGATCCCGCAAAAAGGGAGAGCAGGAGAGGGAAAAAAGAAAGAGAGACAGGTCGCGCCGAGCGGACCTGACAAAATCAGTCAGTCAGATTTCCGTCCTTCTATTTAATGCAACAATACATAAATACATAACTTTTTCACATTAAAATAATAGCTTCAAAATCATTTTGATGGCAGACTGACTTCTAATAAGGTGAATGATAGCTGTGCTATTGCCACAGCATGCCCAGATTGCTTGTTACTGCACTATGTAACTTTGGACCACCATCCTGAAAACCTCACATAATAGCTGTTTTGCTTTAGGGCACCAGACCCTTCTGCAAGCTCAGTATTCTTACATGTGGGGCCTCTGTTGAGTTTTGATTTATTTATTTTTTTTAGGTGAGAAAGTAATCACTTAGACTGTGAATATGCAGTCAGTCTATCAAAGTATTGCCAATTTGGAAATTTGCTCTGATGTTTTCAGAGCTGTGAGGACCTGCTAGTAGACCAAGCTAACTCTCCTTAGCAGGCAAGTACATCTCGTTCAGAGCAGAGTAAGGCTGTCAGCAAGAACACAGGTGTTCTGTTTGCACATTGAGAGTACTGTGTCCTCCCATCCTCCAGAATTCGGACTTAGAATTTGGATTTACTAACTTACTGCTATCTCATACTGCGATTGTGAACAAGCTGTGCAACAGGACCTGGACCAGGGGTGGGCAATCCCAGTCCCCTGCTTGTTTTCCAGCTGTCCCTGATCTACTCACTACTGATTACCTGGATCAGGTGTGTTCAGTCAATGGAAGCTATCAAACGGATACAAACTACACATGTAGTAGTACATAGTACAGCGTATAGTCAGACATGTCCCATAGACACTGGCTATGGTTACCATCTGTCCAGCCAAGGAATGTAAAAAACATGCTGAGAGCAAGGGATCAGACAAGAGTAAATATCAGATTGGTTTTTAGTCATTGGCAAGAGCTTAAAATAACCCTGTCAGGTTTATTAAGTGTTAATAGCTACAGTCCTGACATTATCTGCTAACATGAAAACAACCACAGCAGTGTACATCTCTGCTAATGTAATTTATGAAATATTTCAACACTAGGCTATAACCCTGTCAATGTCATCCCATGTCATCTGTAGCTTTTTCCAGAGGTAAAAAGTCATCTACCTCAGTCCCCCAAATAAATAAACTAATCCCATGCCGAGAAAATCTTGTCAGTCTTTGTCATTGTCACGCCAAATGAGCCTTTGATGTTTGCAGCCTAACAAATTCATCTCAGCATGTGACATTATGTGTTATTCCTTTTCTTATGACTGTTCATCTCTAATGTCACAATAAATACATAATAAATCCTGTAATATTACTTTACTATTCTTTCATTGTCTTTCAAGGTTCAGTAACAACTACATTTTATAAACAAATGCACATGGTGAAAAAGCAACTAGTATTTACAACAACTGTGTACAACTCAGTTAGATTCAGCAACTGTAGGGGGAGACAAATTGTCAAATAACATATTGTTGCTTTAAAGGGTTAAAGAGGATCTGATTTGATTGGACATAACTAATGCCAGCCACCTGCTTATTATGCATTCCGCCCTCTAATAATGTAGTCTGTCTCTCCTCCACAATGCACCTGGTAATGCCTGGCTGCACCTAAAAGCACAATGCGTCTGCGGTCACCAAAATTGCAAAGCATTTTTGAATACGCCTTTATGCATCTTGCATCTGGAATTCAGACACAAGTCTAGAACTGCATCCTGTTTCACAAAAATAGAGCCACAAGTCATCCAGTTAGCAGCAGTATATCTGTATGGTGAACATATTGGAGACCATTACTTTTACCTAGTGATCACAATAAGATTAAGCTCATCTGGAGGGCTCACTCCCAACTGGTGTTCATAAATTGCCAGAACAATTCACCATAATCTGATGCTAAAATATTTGCTCTAATATTTCATTTAATCTATCAGTTTGGTTTATAACTGCAGTTTTACAATATAGCAATATAGTCCATCTCCATTTTGGAAGTAGGTGAATTTTACATTTTGATAACAAATTTTTTTTTATTATTATTATTTTCTAGTTTTCTCGTTAGTGATGGAAAAACTATTAGTTATCTACAAGACATTAAAAGTACTTCTGACATTAACTGTATCAGTCTGAAAACTCACCTGCAGAAAAAACTGGTTGAATCTAAAAAAATAAAGATAAATTGTGTTATAATGAGAAAGTATTACAAAAATACTGTAATTATATATTAAAATAAAACAGAAAGTAACTGAATAAAAATTATAATTACCTGTAGGACAGACAAAAGAATGGCTGATGAGTAAATCATCCACAAGTTATCCATTGTTTATCAGTATATCCATATATGTGAGCTCTGCACTCAGCCTCTCATCTGAAATCTTAACAGGCTGAGCACTGTAAATTAACTTCGTAGGAGCCAATCAGGACATCCTAAATGAGGACAGGTGGATGCCTGTAGGCTCCCTGTCATCACGAGATGGTAACAAAGTATATAGCTTGTTGGGTGGAGGTGGGGGTGCTTTCACTTCCCCCACTCTATTATGCTCACACTGCCCTTCCACCAATTTTAAGGAAATATGATCTCTTATGTTTGACATACTGAGTAACTGCAGAGTTAATTGCTTCCTGCCACACAATTTTCCTAGAAATCATCTTTTTTTAGGTATTATTTTATAATGTCTGCCCTTTTAGGGTTATCAAAAACCAAGGGGTCATGCACTGAGATTGTTTGAGGAGGCACAGTTTCACAATTCCATTGTCAAAAAAAGTTTTAATTATTTATACCAATTTATTTGCAAATAAATTAATTGGCTCAACAAATGAAGCTCCAGTGCCATCCCATTTATCTTCTGGTGAAACTCTCTTGTTGGCCATATGTAATAATATTGCCTAATAATTTAAACCTTTGAAACTTATGAAGACATTCTCATTCCAGAAGAAGTGGACAGTGACAATTGAGATAGTAGTTTCAAATTTCTTGTAACACAAGAATGTTGTTGAAAGATAATATGAATTAAGAGCACATTTTTCTTAGTGTTGCAGAGCTGCAACTACAATTTATTATGTAAAACTAAAATGCTGAAGTGTAAACCATTTTATAGATGAAAATCTATACTGTAGGTTGTTAAACTTTGTCTTTTATTAGTTATTTTTTTCTCACTATAAGAAGAAACTTTTTAAAAACCTTTAATAAAGTATTTTCCCTACTAAATTCATTTCTTTATTTAAAAATAAATAATATAAATATAAATATAAATATAAATATAATATAAATAAAATAAATAAATATTTTACAGAGACAAACTCATACTGGAACCTTATAGCTAATCTGTTCATAATATGTAGCCTACTGTATATCAGTCTTGTATAAGCTCACCGTATTCTCTTGGGGGTGTTTAATAATGAATGTGATAGTTTGTTGCATGTTGCATTGTGTGACAGAAAGAGTTGTAGACAATTGGTCCACACGTCAGCCTCCTCTCTGGGCTTTGTGTCTTTCCTGTGTTTGAATGTCAAGTAGCTTGTGTCAGCCACATGCAGAAACCAAATGCTCTTGAATACATGTATGTTTTGTCAATTCAACCCTCTATAAAATATACAGTGGGTACAGAAAGTATTCAGACCCCCTTAAATTTTTCACTCTTTGTTATATTGCAGCCATATGCTAAAATCATTTAAGTTCATATTTTTCCTCATTAATGTACACACAGCACCCCATATTGACAGAAAAACACAGAATTTTTGACATTTTTGCAGATTTATTAAAAAAGAAAAACTGAAATATCACATGGTCATAAGTATTCAGACCCTTTGCTGTGACACTCATATATTTAACTTAGGTGCTGTCCATTTCTGCTGATCATCCCTGAGATGGTTCTACACCTTCATTTGAGGCCAGCTGTGTTTGATTATACTGA